TGATTCTGCAAGATGAAGGTTTTAGACTTCATAAGCCCAAGGACTACTTCAGCACTAACATCCTAATATTTTATAATCTGAAATTATTTGTGATAGCTAATACAAAGCAGAAGTAATCAACTTGCTTTTATTTCTTGTCTTCTTTATTTCCTATTGTATTGTTAATACCTTTTAAAGAAATTATATGCATGTTAAAGCTAAACAGAAATTTTATAATTTATTTAATGGCACACCATCAACAATATGGTGCTTTCTTTCGAAAGAAACAAAAGTATTTTTCCTGATTATATACTAATTCATTATTAGCGAATTGGGGAAAATGTATAAAGAAGAAAATAAAAATTATCCCCAAATTTTCTCTGATATATGTATTTATATATACACACATACATGTACATATGCCATCTCTATTATTAATATATTATTTGTGTTCCTTTTTCACTTAATATTAAAAAGTGAATATTTTCTAATTATTATAAACATTTTAATAGTATCCTCCTAATACATTGTATGGCTACTGCATGAGGCTTTTGTTTACCTTTACCCTCACCTTTAAAAAAATTTCTTTCCCTTTATTTGTTAGTTTTCAAAGCAATACATTGGTACTTCAGCATCCCCCAAATAGTGACGTTTTAAAATGTTTTTATTTGAACTCCTTACTTCTGCCCTCTCCTTCCCTTCCTTTGCTACTGCCCCTCACCCCAACCTGCCTTCCTCCCTGCCTCTGTCCCCTGGCCCCTGTCCATTCCCACTTCTGTCCCCTGCTCCTAACCTCTACCTACTTTCCTCCAACTCTAGCTGTTCCTTCACCTAGATTTCATCTGCTTCCTGTCTACTGGCTCTTTTTCCTCAGCCCTGCTGTTCTTTAAAAAACAAACAACAACCAAAAAACTCCAAAAATCCTCTTGACATGTATTTTCTTCTAATATTTGAAAGAGTAGACTACATTTGTTGTCCTTGCTCCTTTACCTTCTATTTCCTTAGTCTCCTGTGATCTCTTTTTGTCCCCATGATTCTTTCAGACACCTGCCATTAAGCTCACCAGTATCATTCTGATTACAAAGTAGTGCAACCACTCTTAGTGCCCTTATTTTATGTGCCCTCTCTACCTCATCTTGTACCATTCAGTTCTTCCTTTTAAAAATAATGCCTTATTTACTTCAAAAAATTTTTAGTTTAGGAAACTTAGATGAAAATCAAATAAATTGCTATTAATAATTAAATATATTTACATTCTTCATGACAATCTCTCATCCATTCATAAAAAATGAAACCATTCTTTATGGTTTTTAAAAAGGTTTTTTTCCTCTCTTTCTTCCTATTCCTCAGTTAATTCAATAAACTTTCTTCTTCCCCCTATCCTTTGTATAGTGGCATTCTCTAGTATTCTGTCCTTGGTTTTATATTCTAATTATACAATTTCTTGGATCGTTTCAAAGTGGCCTTTTTAAAAAAGTTTATATGTAGATATATACACACAGTAAAATATGCACATAGTAAATTTCAAAGCCTACAAAAACTGACATTAATTTTCACAAAAAAATAATTCTTTTACCAAGTGTCAATCACTGGTGTATCCTTCTAGAGAGATTATGTGCATATGCTAGTATATATGTATTTATATATTTACTTTTTATTCTTTTAAAGTTATTTGTATATAAATAGTATATTCAATACTGATTTGCATCTTTTAAAACTAGTAATGTGTAGGAGAACAGTTCACATCAGTACGTAGAGATGTATTCCATTCTTTTTAGTGGCTGCATGGCATTTTTTTGGTTTGTATTTCCTCCCCCCCCATAACATCTTATTTTGAAAGAATTCAAACTTACAGAAAAGTTTAAAGAAAGTACAATTAACATCCACTTGTATGACTACCTTTCTTCTTTCCTTTCTGCCTTTTTTTTCTTGAATCATTAGAAAGTAAAATTGTAGGTATCATTAACAGCATATTCCAAAATTATTCAATATGTATGTCTTCAGGACTAAGACATTTCTCTTACATAATCACAACTTTATCACACCAAAGAAATTTAAATTTCATACAGTATTAGCTAATACAAACCGGTATTCATATTTCTACAGTTGTTCCCCAGATGTCTTTTATAATTGTTTTGTTTCTCTCTGCATTCTGGGAGCCAATCAAGAATTAAGACTTGCATTTTGGCCAGGTGTGGTGGCACATGCTTATAATCCTAGTACTCTGGGAGGCCGTGGCGGGTGGATTGTTCAAGGTCAGGAGTTTGAAACCAGCCTGAGCAAGAGTGAGACCTCGTCTCTACTAAAAATAGAAAGAAATTAATTGGCTAACTAAAAATATATAGAAAAAAATTAGCCGGGCATGGTGGCACATACCTGTAGTCCCAGCTACTTGGGAGGCTGAATCAGGAGGATTGCTTGAGCCCAGGAGTCTGAGGTTTCTTTGAGCTAGGCTGACGCCACGGCACTCTAGCCTGGGCAACACAGTGATACTGTCTCAAAAAAAAAAAAAAAAGACTTGCACTTGGTTGCCATAGGCCTTTCATTTACCTATGGTTAGATTACCACCAAACTAGATCTCTAGGTCAAACTCTTTCCTGTAGCAGATGTAAATAACTACTAAGTATAATTATTTCAGTGTCCCACTGGCAATTCTAAAATAATATGTCTACGATGAACTCAATACTTTCTACTCTCAAATTACTTTTCCTCCTGTATTCTCAACTTAGTGCATGGTGTCGTTCAAATGTTGCCTAAACATTTAGGCAACTCCCTCTTTGAGACTGCGGTACTACTCCATTTGCTCATGGTCCTCTTCCTACCTTGTCTACTTTGTCTGCCTGTTCAGTCTTCAAGACCCAAGTTAAACTTTACTTCCTTTGGGAAACCTTCCCTGACCCTTTTTTTCTCCAGGCAGAATTAGATGTGTCTCCAGTAGGCTCCCTTCGTACCCTATACACACACCTATCCCGTCAGTTATTACTTGGGGTGGGAATTATGATTTATGTACCTGCCTTCTTAGAGAGTGAGCTCCTTAAGTTGATATGGAATTAATTGTTTTCTGTCTTTGGTCTAGTAACATAGTACCTAGTTTGTAAATGCTTAATGAATATTTATGAAATGGAAGAATATGTTTTAGACAATCTTTATCAAGTAGAAACTTAACTTTATCAAAGCTCAACTCTATTCAGCATGTATCTGTTGAATTGCTACTATGTGCACTATTTCATGCAAGTAGTAAGACTATTTTCTGCCTCTCAATTAGAATCTAATTGAGAGGATAAGGCCAGTATACTAGAAGTTTAAATAATACTGAAAGGTAATCTAATTACCAGAAGACTGATACAGATAGTATCCCCAGGGAAAGAGGAGTTAGTGAATGTCTTTGAGTACTTACTATGTAATAGTTACTTTTGTTTGTATTTGCAAATCGTATTTCATTTAGTCTCTATAACTTTTATTTTTCAAAAGATGAAATTAAAGATCATAAGTAAAGATTTGAACCCAGATCTGATTGACTCCAGAATCATGCTTTTAAGAGTTCCAAAGGCAATTAAGAGCATTATCAAGTGATACTATAAGTTCAGAGAAGAAAATAAAATAGTATCCTATTGTAGGACAAAAATTATTGTATATTCCCAAAATCAAAGATTATACAATCATTATAAATTCTGTGGTTGAGGAATATTTACTCTCGTGGAAAAGTATTTATGATGTACTATGAACTATTAATACTAAAAAGCAGTATATAAAAGCATTCCATTTTTTAAAAATGTGCATATGTACATGAAGAAAATACATGAAAGGGTTAGCAGTAATTCTCCCAGGTATTTATGGACTCTATGAATTTCTTCCTTGTATAATCTGTATTTTCTAGATCCTCAACAATGAACATGAATTTTTATAATTAGGAAAAAAAAGTCATTTAAAAAATAATAGACTAAAGAAAAAATAATCAAGCAGAACTTATTTAAAGCCTTACAATTATTAAAATGGGCAGGTTTCATGTTGACCTTCCCTGCCTCTGGGGTACAACTAACATAAGCATCCCAGACAGATTAATGGTTCCTATTTTAAGGTCTTACTAGGATAAGCCAGTCTCCTTCTGCCTTACAGTCATTTCTGTTACCCAATAATCAGTGCAAAAAGCATTGTCTCTTTATACTATTTTATGAAGACACAGTCATGAGAGCTACTCCTGTGTCTTGTGGAAATTTTTGTTGTATAAAAATCTTTTTTTTCTAAAATAAGGAAAGGACCAAATTTAATATTCCTGCCTAGGAGAAAAAAATGTAATGTTCCTGCCTGGACTTTATGTTCTGCTTTGTAAAAATATTCAAAGAAGTTGATAAATGTGAATATTTAAAAGGAACCAAAAAGGAACAGGAAAACATGGCTTGTCACATGTATCCTTTAGTTTTCTTTTCAAAGAAAAGAATGATCTATCTCTGTTTTCCCTCTGGGTGGCTGCTTTTCTACCATAGCATGCATGACTGATTAGTCTTGATTTTTCTTACTGGGATTTAGCACACTCTAGTGGACAGTAGCTTTTTGGTTTTTACATTTTTTTTTTTTTTTTAAATCATGTCAAATTACTTTATTGGATGTTTCAATGATGTGCTTACTAGATAGTAAAGTTTGTCAATATTCATTTGAGTCAAGTAGTGACCCGAGTAAGCAGGAGTAAATTTGTCAGCCTCTGGGGTGTTATGCACTTTTATATGGTTTCTTTAGTGGGAGGAAGAGAGGCTTTTCTCCTTATGTGGGAACTTTTCTCCAGTGATTTTCATTTTCTCTTGGGTGTACTGAAATTGATGGGGGAGGCCATGACATAGAGGAACATTCGTACTTCTACCTCATGCTCCTTGGGTCTGTTTTAGGACTCTTAAGAATTTTTATATAACACTTGGTGACAATTTTTGCAGTTTATGCATAGACGTTGTTGTATCCTATCCTGATGGATTGTTTTTGGAAATGAACTTCCACAAGACAAAAAATAATCTTTTATCTTGTTTTTACAGAGTGATGGTGAAGATTTTAATTACATCATTGCATTTTTCCTCGGAACAGCAGCCTGCCTTTACCAGGTAAATTTTCTCCCAGTTTTAAGAAATGCTTTTTTCTATTATTTGTTTTAGGTATCAATTCTAATAATTGCTTGTGCTTTTAAAATAAATTTTTAGAGAGTGTGAGTTCTTTGCCTCTCTTTTAATTTGAATCTCTGTTAACTTTGTGACCCGTGTCTCTGTCTTGAGAGGACATAGATCCCAGTTAACCCAGGGTTAACCTTTCTGTGCCGGGGCTTCAGTAGTGGTATATCATCTGCCTATGGCAGTAAAGGCTAATTCTAGATTTTCTGGTGACTGATTATTCAGCCTCCAGATTCTGCTTATACTCTAGGCTGAGGATTTTGTACTTTTGGGAAAGTCTTTGAATAGGGAATGGCACAACAAAAGCAAGATGTTAGGGTATTTAATTTAGCAGTAATGAATAGGATGGATTATAAGAGTGGACAGACTGGAAGCAAGGACGTTAGTGGGAAGGTGATTCCATTACTATAGGCAGAAAGTAATAAAAGTCTTAACTATGGTAATGGCAGTAGGGGTAGGAAAAAAATGGACATTGAGAAGTAAGACTCATAGGGACTTGAAGACAATAGATATGAGACTTAAGAGATTTTGCACCTGGGTGATATGGAGACTGGTACTCATTTCCAAGGCCAGAGGAGGCACAGACTTGTAGGGAAAGCTGGGGTAACCATGCCAGTTACCCAAACTCAAGAATATCTTTGTTACATGGTACTGCAAACAAGACCTTTTGACCTAATTTTATAAGTAACACATTTCTCTGGCTCATATAGAGAAAACATTAGAAAGATTCAAATCTGCAAATAAAAGGCTTCCTAAAATTCAGAAGAAGTTATTTTAGTGTTTTTTGTTTGTTTGTTTTTTGAGACAGAGTCTCACTCTGTCACCTGGGCTAGGATGCCAAGTGTCAGCCTAGCTCACAGCAACTTCAAAATCCTGGGCTCCAGTGATCCTTCTGCCTCAGCTTCCTTAGTAGCTGGGACTACAGGTGCATGCCACCATGCCCAACTAATTTTTTCTCTTTTTAGTAGAGATGGGGTCTCACTCTTGCTCTGGCTACTCTTGTACTTCTGACCTCAAGCGATCCTCCCACCTCAGCCTCCCGAAGTGCTAGGATTACAGGCGTGAGCCACCTGCCTGGCCTTCAGTAGAAGTCTTTAGGAAAATATTCTGAATACATGCATTTGACTTTTATGTAAAGACAGTAGAAATTTTAGTTTTAGTGGCCCATTTTTAAAAATCCCTTTATTTTTCTTAATTTATATTCAGAAATTTTGTCAAATTTGACAGATTTAATTATGAATGGCATTTCATGCAGGGAATGTGAAAACTTGTATTTGTTAATGTTACATACTGCTTTAATTTTATGAAATAGTCTCATATAGATTTTCTATTTTAATTTCTACAATCCTGTCACACAAAACATATTATCTTATTTTTGAAAATGAGAAAGCTGAAGCAGTTTCAGTACCATCCTGAAATCACATAGCCAGAAAGTGGTAGAGTCAGGACTTAACTCTGAGTCTTCTGATTCTTAAATATTGTGTTCTTTCTACTATATCATTCTGTCTCTGAGCAAAATTCCCAATTTGTATAATTTTTATAATGTTAAAAAATTATAATTTTATAACTTTTATATGTGATCTTGTTTGGTTCTAAAACAATATGAGTATTAACTTTGAAATAATTTTATGAATAATAATTCTTATAAAATACAAGTTTGGGTTGCTTTGCTTTGTCTTAAGTAATTTTAAATGGTTCATAATAATGGCAGAATGTATTGAGCTCTTACTCTTTGATGAGCCCTTTGTATTCGTTGTACCATTGAATCCTCACAAAAAACCCCACACTAATTCTCTTACCATTGCTGTTTTTCACTGAGACATAGATGGTTCTTATAGCTAGTCAGTGATTTAAACGCAGATCTGTGTTACTCCAGAGCCAGTGCTCTTGACCACTGGGCAGTGGTAGGCACACCTCTGGGAGTTTCCCAGAACAGCCTGAAGTAGTTCTAAGAGTTGCCTCATGGTGGAGCAGTGTCACTCAAGTATTCTTTTACTTGAGAGAAGTAAACAAATTTATGCTTTAAAACAGAAAAGCAAAAAGCCATTTCCTTCATATTGACAGGCTTGAAACTGCCTCCTTTCCAACTATGTTGAGCACAGTGATAATAATGCTGGGGGTTTTTTACGGTAAAACTTAGGTGATTAGATTTTGCTGTATAGCATGCACTATCTCCAGTTGCCAGAATATTTTTTAATCCTCTTTAGATCAGACCTGAAAGGCCACTACCACATGGTTTGTCACCTTTTTCTCCAGGATGTAGGTGCTTATGGAAGCACAGAGCTCAGTCAGATAGGATAATCTTGATAGGGAAGATTTCAAATAAGAAATCAAAGAGTCAGTGAAGAAACTAGAGACTGTTCCTTTTCCCTTAATGCTTTATTTTTAAAACTTTTAAACTTACAGAAAAGTTGAAAGACTAGTACACCTAGAGTCATCAATTGTTAACATTTTGCAGCACTTCCTTTATCTCTTTATTCTCTCTTTATATGTGGGTGCATATAGTGTGTATATACAGATAATCCCTGACTTAGAATTTTTTACTTTACAGTCATACAAAAGTGATACATATTCAATAGAAACCATATTTAAAGTGCCCATATAACCATTCTGGTTTTTTTTTTTTTTTTTTTTTTATCCTTGTGGTTACCCTTTTTGCCCAGGCTACAGTGAGTGCTGTGGCATCAGCCTAGCCCACAGCAACCTCAAACTCCTGGGCTCAAGTGATCCTTCTGCCTCAGCCTCCCGAGTAGCTGGGACTACAGGCATGCGCCACCATACCTGGCTAATTTTATATATATATATATATTAGTTGGCCAATTAATTTCTTTCTATTTATAGTAGAGACGGGGTCTCACTCTTGCTCAGGCTGGTTTTGAACTCCTGACCTTGAGCAATCCGCCCGCCTCAGCCTCCCAGAGTGCTAGGATTATAGGCGGGAGCCACTGTAACCATTCTGTTTTTTACTTTCAGTATAGTATTCAATAAATTAGATGAGCTATTAAACACTTTATTATAAAACAGGCATTGTGTTAGATGATTTTGCTCAATTGTTGGCTAGTGTTCTGAGCATGTTTAAAGTAGGCTAGGCTAAACTATGATGTTCAGTAGGTTAGGGATATTAAATATATTTTGACTAAAGATATTTTCAACTTATGATAGGTATATTAGGACATAACCCATTGTAAGTTGAGGAGCATCTGTAGTTGTTTATAAAGTAAGTTTTGAACAGATATGTATGTGTAAAGTTGTTTATCTCATTAAACTTTCTAAAATAATTTTAAATTCATGTGGAGTTGTAAGAGAGATCCTATGTACCCATTACTTGATTTTTTCCAATGGTACCATCCTGCAAAACTGGAATACAGCATCACAACCCCGGGATTGATATTGATGTAGTTAAAATACAAAACTTTCTTGTCACCACAAGCATCCTCCTCATGCTGCCTTTTGTTAGCCACATTGACTTCCCTTCTGCCCTAACCCCTCCCTAATCTCTGATAATCACTACATGTTCTCCATTTTTGTAATTTTCTCATTTTAAGTATGTTATACAAATGGAATCATACAGTATATAACTGTCTTAATCAGTTTGGGTTGCTATATAACAAAATACCACAGACTGGGTGACTTAAACAACAGACATTTTATTTCTCACGATTCTGGAGGCTGGTAAGTCCAAGATCAAGGTGCTGGCTGATTCAGTTCTTGGTGAGGGCCCTCTTTCTGGCTTGCAGAAGGCTGCCTTTACAGTGTATCCTCCCATTGCAGAGAGAGAGCACTGGTGTCTCTTCCTCTTCTTATAAGATCATTGATCCCATCATGGGGGCTGTGCCCTCATGGCCATATCCAAAGACCTTCCAAAGGCCCCACTTTACCATTATGTTGGAGGTTAGGACTTTCAACATATGAATTTGGGGTGGGGGAACACAGATATTCAGTTCATAACAGTAACCTTTTGTGGTTGGCATTTTTTTTGTTTAGCATAATTCTCTGGAGATTCAGCCAAACTGTTATGTAATTAATGGTTTGTTCCTTTTTATTGCCAAGTAGAATTCTGTGATATAGATTTACTGCAGTTTGTTTAATCATTTACCCATTGAAGGATAATCTGAGTTGTTTCCAATTTTTGGCTGTTATAAATAAAGCTGATATAAGCATTTATGTACAGGTTTTTTTGGTAACCATAAGTCTTCATTTCTCTGGGATAAATGCCTAGGAATGCAATTGCCAGGTCATGTAGTAGTTGCGTGCTTAGTTTTATAAAGAAACTGACAAACTGTTTTCCAGAGTGGCTGTACTGTTTTACATTCCCACCAGCAATATGTGAGTGATTCAGTTTCTCTGCTTGCCAGCATTTAGTATTGTCACTATTTTTATTTTAGCCATTCTGATAAGTGTGTGGTGAAAGCTCATGGTGATTTTAATTTACATTTCCCTAATGGATAATAATGTTAAACATCATTTCATGTGTTTGTCCATATGTCTCCTACATATCCATCTATATACCTTCTTCACTGAAATGTCAATTTGTGTTTTGTTTATTTTATAATTGCATTCTTTGTTTTTTACTTTTTTGAGAGTTCTTTATACAGTTGGCCCTCTGAATCCATGGGTTCTGCATCTATGGATTATACCAACTGTGGATAAAAAATATTTGGCAAAAAAAAAAAAAACCTCTGTCCTTGAACACCTGAACATATATGTACAGACTTTTCTCCAGGTCATTATTCCCTAAACAATATAATATGACAACTATTTACATAGCATTTACATTGTATTAGGTATTATAAGTAATCTAGAGATTATTTAAAGTATACAGGAGGAGCCAGGAATGGTGGCTCATGCATGTAATCCTAGCACTCTGGGAGGCCAAGGCAGGAGGATTGCTTGAGGTCAGGAGTTGGAGACCAGCCTGAGCAAGAGCAAGACCTCGTCTCTACAAAAAATAGAAAAATTAGCTGGGTGTGGTGGCGCATGCCTATAGTCACAGCTACTCGGGAGGCTGAGGCAGGAGGATCACTTGAGCCTAGGAGTTTGAGGTTGTAGTGAGCTATGATACTGCTACTGCACTCTAACCTTGGAGACAGAGTGAGACTCTGTCTCAAAAAAGTAATAAATAAATACATAAAGTATACAGGAGGGTATGCATAGGTTACATGTGTCAACTGGAGAATGATGAGGTTCATAAATTTGGAAACAAGGGTTGTAGCCTGCAGGGTGACCATTCTGACCAGTTGGGAAGCATAGCCTCTGGCCAGAAGCAGGTACTTCAAGGGAGGGATAACAGGGACAAGAATTTATGCTGAGTAGTTGGCCAAATATACACACTTAACAAGCTATGGGATGAGTCAGGAATATTATGAAAAGAGAAACATACACACACACAATTGAACTTTATGCTACTTCATGGGCTCCATGTTCAGAAAATAGTGGCATTAGCATGATTCAACGGTGGAGTTTTTGGCCTTCTGGTGTCAAAAGCTGAAGCAAAGGACATTAAAGCCATCTCTGTGCATCTTCTGTAGACTGGCCAGTAAGTGACAATCATAATATTTTACTTCAAAATACTTCAGCAAGTATCTTCTGAGAACACAAACATCCTTCTACATAGCCATAACATCATATCTCACCCAAGATATTTAACATTGATACAGTATTATCTAATATAGAATTTTTATTCAGATTAGTTTAGTTGTCTCAAAAATGTTCTTTATTGCTATTTTTCTCTTAATCCTTGATTATGCATTGTGTTTGGTTGTTGTGTATCTTTTAACTTAAAATATGTTCTCTAAGACTTTTTGATCTGTTCTGTTTTGTTTTTATCTTTCATAGCATTGATTTTAAAGAGTCCAGGCCAGTACCTTATATTAGTAAAATGACTCAGTCTGGATCATCTATTTCTCATGATTAGATTCAGGTTAAATATTTTGGCAGCAGTATAATATAATATGTTGTATATCTCTTATTATATCAGTCAAGAAACATGTAATAAGTTTGATCATTTGGTGAAAGTGGTATCAGATCTCTCCATTACAGAGATATCTTTTTTCCTTTGTAATTAATAAGTAATTTGTGGGGTAGAGACCATTACTTTTAGAAGCCCTTGAAAACCATGAATTAAATATTAGTTTTTTAAATGCCAGAAAAGCTAGTTTATTTTTACAGTAGAATTCCAATTAATACATGTACATAGTATGATGGAAATACAAAATTACCATTAGGAAACATGACAGTAATAACTGTTGCAAGCAAGAATCATCAATGAATGCTAAAATTAGTGGGCAATATGATGAGATAAGATATTTTACATAATTTCAAAATCTGCCTCTCAAGATACTTAATGACTGCAAAGAGAATAATAGTAACCACAGTAGAGTAACCTGGCAAACACCTCCTTATTCAGTGATCAAAGTTAACATCACCAGTAGTAACGCACAGTGCATATCACCTCTGTAGTATTCTTGCCAAAATTGCATATCCTCATTTCATTCTTGACAAAACATCAAACACACCCAAACACCCAAGTTGAGGGACATTCTACAGCATCACTGATTAATACTCTTCAAGACTGTCAAGATCATGACCAAAAAAGACTGAGCTGTTGCAGATTGGAGTAGACATGACAACTAAATGCAATACAGAATCCTGGATTGGATTCTGGACCAGAAAAAGGACCCTAGTGGGACAGCTGGCAACATTTGATTAAAGTCTGTAGATTAGTTAATAATACTGAATCAATGTTAATTTTCTCGTTTGATGATTATACTATGGCTATAAGGATAACATAGGGGGAGCAGGATGAAGAGTATATGGGAATTCTATTATTTTTGCATCTTTTCTTTAAGTCTAAAACTATTTTAAAAGAAAAAGGGTTTTTGGCCGGGTGTGGTGGCTCACGCCTGTAATCCTAGTACTCTGGGAGGCCGAGGTGGGAGGATTGCTTGAGGTCAGGAGTTTGAAACCAGCCTGAGCAAGAGCGAGACCCTGTTTCTACTATAAATAGAAATAAATTAATTGGACAACTAATATGTATAGAAAAAATTAGCCAGGCATGGTGGCACATGCCTGTAGTCCCAGCTACTCGGGAGGCTGAGGCAGGAGGATCACTTGAGCCCAGGAGTTTAAGGTTGCTGTGAGCGAGGCTGACGCACTCACTCTAGCCTGGGCAACAAAGTGAGACTCTGTCTCAAAAAAAAAAAAAAAAGAAAAAGGGTTTTTTCCTGGTTTTTTTTTCAACCTTCTATTTCACTATCAAAGTCATTCAGGTAAAATCCATGTTTTCAATTCATATTTTTGCATTATGGTCTTCTTGTAAGTAAGCAAAGTGGTAATTTGTATAAGAACTAAACTTGTTTAACAGAACATTTCCACATTCTTCTGCATTGTAACAAACACCCTAATGTCATTCCCATTCTGAAGCCTGGACACAGTTTCACACAGAGTCCTATGCTTCTCTCTTAAGACTTTGCTATCATGTACAATTCCTATCATCAGATTGTGAATTTTAGACACTGTTTCTAGAAAACAGTTTATTCATTTAACAAATTTTATCAAGTACTTATTATGTACCAGGTACTGTTCTGGGCACTGGAGATAAATGATGGAACAAAACAGTAAAAAATTCCACCCCTCATGAAACTTAGATTCTATTGAAATGCATCTATAGATGTCATCTATAGATGACAAAATAATTATATTTTTCAAGTATGTTTATGGTATTTTGTGGAGAAAAATAAAGCAGTAAAGGGTAAATGCCAGGTTTGGTGGGAAAAGCTTTCTTTATTATCTCATCTAAAATAGCACTCAGTGTCATTTTCTATTCCCTTTTCGAGATATAACTATTTAATATTGTATATTAAAATGTGTACATAATCTTTCTCCACTAAAATGTAAACTCTAGCCAAGTGCCATGGCCCATGCCTATAATCCCAGCACTTTGGGAGGCCAAGGTGGGACGATCGCTTGAGATCAGGAGTTCTAGACCAGTCTGGGCAACACGGTGAGACCCCATTTCTACAAAAAAGAAACTGGGCCTGGTGGGGCACACCTGTAGTCCCAGCTACTTGGAAGATTGAGGCAGGAGGATCACTTCAGCATGGGGATTCAAGGTTACAGTGAGCTATGATTGTACCACTGCACTCCAGCCTAGGTGACAGAGTGAGACCTTGTTTCCAAAAAGAAAGTAAGCTCTGTGTAACGGTTTTATTCATTTTACTCACAACTGAAGAACAATGCCTGAGTTGTAGCAGACCCTCAATGAGTATTCGTTGAATGAATCTTCCTCAAATGTTCACTCAGGTTCTGTACCTAGCATAGTTTCTTGTACTCAATGGGGGACTAATAAAGTTTTGTTGATTTCATTAATACTCAGACTCAGGTTATGTAAGAGTCCATTTTGCTGAGTAGCTTATGTGAGCTTTTTGTACTCTACTGAGTGAGAATGGAACCCCCTCAAACCCTGGAACTGCTTCTTAGTTGTCTGTTACTTTGGGGAATTTACCTAGCTTGTTTGCAAAGGAGTCACCCAACTGTACTTTCATTTAAAATATGACTTAAATGCTTTTCTTTTGAAAAATGAAAAACATAAAAGGAAAAATCTGTTTCCTTTTCAAGCTATGGAACTTTTATAGCTCAATGTCTTAGATATGCCATGTTATCTTATCCCTAGATAAAAAATACCCTATGCCATTCTCATATTTTATTCTCTGACCTTGTACAGTTTTTTATTAGAAACGCCTATTTCTTTTCCTGTAACCCTAATCATCTTTCATTTTTATATTTTGAACAGTGTTATTTACTTGTCTACTACACCGGCTGGCGGAATGTCAAATCCTTTTTGACTTTTGGCTTAATCTGTCTATGCAACATGTATCTCTATGAACTGCGCAACCTCTGGCAGCTTTTCTTTCATGTGACCGTGGGAGCGTTTGTCACACTACAGATCTGGCTACGGCAAGCCCAGGGCAAGGCTCCTGATTATGATGTCTGACACCATCCTTAAGACATACTGCCTTGGCTTCCGGGGGAAAGGAGGGAACATATCTTAACTGCCACTGTGATGAAGAAACTATTCACCACAAATGAGAAGCTCTGCTTTCTTTCTCTCCAACTTTCCTTTTTTAAAATCAGCATGGCATGCCTGTGAGCATGCAAGACCTGCTAGGAAAACTCCTCTCAGAAGAATGTTGACCATGAGATTATCATTCAGAGGAGGAGAAGGAAGAGACTTCTCTCTTCAGGTCTGGAACAGTGGAAGAACCGTCAGATGCCATCGGAAGACTTGGCCAGCAGTCCTAAATCCTTGCTGACGAGTTCAGTCAAAAAATAGATATGGTACTTGCTGTGAGGACCAAGCACCGGAACTCTACAACCTGAGTTTGCCTTTGTGAGGCATTACTATAGACCAAATATAAAGATGCTACAGAAATTGGGAAGTTTATATTTTGAACAAATGACTGTGCTAAATACCAGATTATTTGCACATTTGTGGTACCAAGAGTTTATGACGTCCAGGATGGTGTGGAATTGGTTCTTGTTACTTTTATATTTTTGCTTGAATCTTAACTCTGGAAATAACCTGCTGTAGGAAAAGGCTGTGGTGAGCTCATCTCTGGAACATCACAAGTATTGCAAATACAGAGACATATGTTTCCTTTCTAGACCACGTTTGTCGTTTCTTTAAAAAATCACTTAAAAAATGATTCATTAGACTATAGCCATTCTTTCCCAAAACCAATCATTTGAGTACTATTTATACTGTTATTTACTTAGTATTTATTTTTTTAATTTTAAAGTATTTTAAAAAGAAACAAATCCTACTCCAAGTGTGAAATCAGTATCAATTACCATGAATGAAAGATAACCACAAAATAAAATTAACACAAAAAATGTTAAGATATAGCGAGGTATTAATGCTGCCAAGGCTCTGAATCTAAGAGGTCTGTGCTTTGTGGCAGTGGGAGAGATGTTACCTAGCACCAAGATAAGGCTCTGTTTCTGGAATAATCAGAGGACAATAGAAAATTGTAAAGGGAATGCCATTCTTACTGTAATTCAGTTATTCTCTGTTGTGTGCCACCTGAAATCATCCTGTGTGCCAGCAGTGATATAGGTCCTACCTACACTATGGAAACACTTGAGTGTACTAAGAGAATCAGAAGGTGACTTTCCTAGCAAATCTTATTATTTTATGGTTTTGATGGATTAAGCACCTAGTATCGGAGAGAACTTACTTGCTTTTTGATGACACTGTAAAAATTGTTCAGGCAGTTATGAATCAATAACATAGAAAGCACAGTTTGTTTCCATTAGCAAAATCTATAACTCTTCTGGTTTTGGAAGTCATTCCATGAGTGATTTTCCTTTGTGTTTTTAAAGAAAAGGTTTCAAACAAGGAATTCATAGGATACCAAAATTTAATATCATCCACAAAAACAGTGGACCCCATTACATTGTAATTTATGTTTCGGGGCATATTTATTAAGTAGAAGAAGTAGTCTTAGAGGATAAAGTCATTGAACTACCTTGTTTGCCTGAACCAGTATATGTGGATATGTCTAGAACCATAAGGTCTTGCTTAACTAGAACCTTTGTACTCTCCTCTTAGGAGAATGAGGTAAAAGGAAGAAAATAAGCTTATGATATCAGGGATTTATTTAAAATAAGAAACTATAGTTCACTTCAGTTTTCTGCCTCTAGCAAGATTTCATAGAAATTATATGTATTCTGAGAGATACCCCAAAGCATCACATGATCCTAAATCATCAAAACAACATTGAATTATGTTTGGCATTTTATATTTACTGAGCCAGAAAAGTGAAATGGTTCAATTTAGAAAGGTTTTCTAAACTAATGGTTAAAACAGATAATATTGTTTTAAATAGTCAATTAATCATGAAGTTAGAACATTTTGGTTAATTGTGATTTTCCTATGTATTAAGTTTATAGCTCTTACCAGTTTGGTTCAGGAGTTACCTCTTTATCATTGAATTAATGAGTTATAATGTTTGGTATTTGGATCCATTCAGCAAGAACGCTTGAAAACTCCTCACCAGCTATTTTTAAACACTGACTTTGTTTTTGTCTTGTCTTTTAACTGGCTGTTTTGGATAAGAGGATGTTTACATCTTAATGTAAAAAATGAAAACAGGTAAAAATGTTTTATGTATAGAAATACTTTCTTTTATTATTTGGTGCCTGCATCTCTGATTGTTCATAGAGCTTCCCTGCCTGTATCATGTTGCCAAAGAAACTGAATTTGGAAAGAGAAACTTTGGCCATGGGTGTAAAGAAGTCCTTCGACTCTTGAGAAAGAATCACTTAGGCCTCCAAGGCATATGATCTTACATTTATATTGCACTTCTACTTCTAACAATAAGTCTGCGTTTACCTTGTCATAGTGAGTTTCATAGCATAGGGGAAGCATAGTTGCCCTTATGTTAAGGAGGAGGACGCAAAGGTGGTCAGATGTTAATGACTTACCCAGGACATAGCTAAGCACACCCTAGCACCTCCTAGGCTCTTTCCACTAGCATGGAAGTAATGGAGGTGACCAAGACTCTATTCAGGGGATATGTCTGTTCTTGGTAAAATCAAGGTATTGAGGGGTTCTGAAATCAGTGAGTCAAGTCCTCCTACCGATCAATATATTTTATCTTTAGTTAATTCTGAAATTCTGCTTTTTGATTATGGTATACCATGAGAACAAAGATACCCTCTTATATATACTCAAAATAATTATAATATTTGATTTCTTTTTTGGTATTTATGCCTGGCCTCTTTCCCAAAAGAATTTGAAGCAGCCTACCAAGAAAAGATATATACAATGATGTTAACAAAATATGAACAGAAAGGGAAGAAAAACATGATCAATGAAAATAGAAGGGTTAATATATTGTCATTAGTGTGCGTAAAATTTGACTCTGGCGCTTTAGGGCAATTAAGGCAAAAAGAAGGGAAACAAGTTATGCATTGCTCTATCAGTAGATCAAAAGCATACCAGCTCCTCAGGGGAGAGTCCTTCCTGATGAATTCTGGTACAAATGTTCTCACTTGAGCGTCCCGTGAAGTGCTAATATGAACGCAACTCCACATTGATGCACATTTGCATCTTATGATTGTGCTTTGGATGTTCAACTTATACCAGCTTTCAAAGGCTTCCATTCAAGGTTTTTGGGTGTATGTGTGTGGTTAATAAAGGACTTTGTTTTTGTAAGTAAGCTAAAAACAAGTATCTATTAAAGCTTGAAAATCCATTTGAGACAAATGCCTTGAGCCATGGAAAACCTTTGCCCAATTTTGTAATTTTATAACATATAAAGTGAATGTGCTGTCCCTGGATTAGCACATTTCTTTTGCATTAAAGATGGTGGTTTTCACAATAGAATCTAGTCCGAAGAAATGCACGGCTGTTTCCATTGGGCTGTGTGGAATCCCATTACTCTTGCTTTGTCAAGGCTCCATTGAGACCGAAGATATGTCATGAAAGACTTAATCTCCGTGTCAGAGGAGGCAACTCTGTGCTCCTGAGGTTAGCTGCTCCCTAAAAAGGCAGTTGTTTGGCCTTTATTTCAAAAGGTTTACTAAGTCACCCAAGGACACAAATCAGTCATTGGATTTCCAAGGGTGCTCAACAAAGTGTGTGTGTGTGGGGGGGGCCTTTCTTGTTACTATTTTAACCCTTTTGGTTTACTTTAAGAGTTAGAACTATTGTGTAGTGTGTGGTAAAAGAACAAGTAAATTATTTCAAGAGCAGCCTCCACACAGACCAAATTGAACACTTGCCTTACCACAAATTATAGGCTACTCTTCAGGGTCGCGTTCTTTTTCTGTGATCAAGACTTCTTACTACTTTTCTGCTTTATTATCTCTAGGCATAGGAAGTCTTGCTACCTAAAAATGCTGTGGTAAAGTAAAACCTGATTTGTGAGTTCAGTTGGCTTTAGTAATATCCTCTCTAAAAGTTAATAAAAGAGCCCCTCCAGTTCCAAGGGTATGAGTGAGTTTGTGTGTAAAGGCTGAGTCAGCAGAGAATGTACCTTTTCTAGCATTCATTATTCATTAGGTTAGAGGTGTCTAACCATCTTCATCAGTGTCCTGGGGCTGCTGTTGAATGTCCTGGAGATTGCAGCCTCCAGTCCAAGCATTGAGTTTATCAAACAGAAGCAGTATCTGTGGCTGCCACTCTTGTAACGTCTCTTTCTTGAGTGGCCGAGCTTTCTAGGTTACTTTATTTAGCAGATGAAATCATAATAAATGTCGAAATACCGCGTGGTTGGAAGCCATGTGGTTTGCATCGTCCTGCTTATTAACAGTGAGTGGTGGTGATGTGTGGGCACATGGGTTTCTTCTGCATTGGCAGTGCTGGTGTGTGATCAATTGTCTCAGCACAGGGGCCTCTCAGGGAGAGAACAGGCTTAGTTCTCAAAGAGTTCCTGAAATCGGAACCTTGCCTTACAAATTGTTCCATGTGTTTCCTTGGCAATAGACAGTATTTTCAGCCCAACATCTCCCACAGTTCACATTTGCCCTTTTCTCCTGCATCACACAGCACAGCAATGTAAGCATCGCCCAGCAGAAAGCACATTCAGACTCCATCTGACAGTAGCAACAGGACTAGTACATTCCATATCCCCTTTGGTCCTCCTGGCAGCCCCTCCCTAGCAGAGCCTTGGGCATTTGTCTCCTTTGTGTCAATGCTCTTCTTCCATGGTAGGTTTTGAAGGACCTTGCCTAAAGGTGAACAAGCAACACTTTACCCTTGCAGGTAGAATTCCTTCAGTGCCTAGGGCTAATAAGAAGAATGCTTATTAGTGCATTTTGTGGGTCTGTGCTAGGTCCTTCTATCTAGCTAATCCTTATGGCAGACTGGAGGGAGAGCACTCTCATTTTCACTTGAGGAAACTAAGACAGAGAGGTCAAGAACTTGTCCTTTGTATGGTATTACACTGGCTAGTGGTGGGTGTAGAGTTCAAACCTGAGATTCAGGTTCAAATGATTTAAAAGTTGGTGCTCATTTTTCTATGCCATAGTGCATCTCAGACCATTCTGAGAGAGAGTGTGTTACTGACGACAGCTGGGCTCTTACTGGTATGGCAGGAGTGAGAACAGATGAAGCAGACACAGGGAAATGGCAGTGTATACTATGCGACAGGACCTGTGTCTGCTACGCATGTCATCCTTACAGAGAGCAGTCACGAATGCTTTCTATTTTATACACAAGCCTCCTGAGCCATGATCACAATCTAACTCATGGTAGAACCAGGATTTCAATCCAGTTCTTACTCAGAACTCATGCTCTTAATCACCATGTAATTTTACGCTAGATAACGTGAAGGTATGTTTAAATATATAAGGCATATATACTCAGGTAATATATGTTACTTTTTAAATAAAAAAGATCAGATTAGTGCTGATTCCTATACCATAGATGTCCTAGGCTGAATGAAATAGTTTCCTAAAATCCCGACATTTACAATAGTGAATTTGCCCATTTACATAAGGCAGATGGCTGATATAGAGGTATGGTGGCCCTTATAGATACCTTAGATATTAGGGCTAGAATATGTACATTGTAGTATTTGTGCTAAAACGAACAAATTAACAATTCTTGATATAGAATGTTAAAGCATTATCAGTGATTCATGTGTTATAAACATCTGCTTTTCCTCACAGAATGCCAGAATAGGTTGGTTTTTGACTTGAAGTAATTTCACAGGAATTCTTTATGTGGTCCCTATATCTGAAAACATTAACCAAAACATAGAAGGTAAGTTTTTGCAGTATAGAATAGTGATTAAGAGTTTGGAGCCAGACTCCTTGGCTCTCCCTTTTACTAGCATTGTGACCTCAGCAAATCACTTAACCTTTCTGCCTCAGTTTCCTTACATGTAAAGTGGGGATAATAGTAGTTCCTTTGGCAAAGCAATGTTATGAGGATTAAGTGAGTCAATAAACGTATAAAGCACTTAAAGTCTGGCAGAGCGAGTCCTAGGAAAGCCTCTGCCCCTACTTTGTTGTTACTATTGTTTTTTTTTTTTTT